TTGATCTATATTCGATATGACATCTCCACTATTGTTTATTTGATTTGTATCTCCAATTAACATTCCATTAGCTTCTTCCCTAAAAAAAATAAAAAGAGCGATTAGACTTGATTTATTTAAAATTAATTTTTTTTAAAAAAGATTACCAAATGCAACGATCATATAAGTATCGTCGATAATAGTTGCAGTATGATAATAAGGAATAACGATAGGTTGCGTATTTGATGTAACCTTTGGTGTTTTCCAATTGTAATTGCCGTCATCTATCTCTAGAATTACCAAAGCATTACTAGAATCCAAAGGTGGTGTTGAAAGTCCGCCGTAAACGATGATCTTATTTTGCACTTTAAATTCATGTAATATTCAGTAACATTCTAATTTTAATGTGATCATAAACAATTTAAATTACCTAAGCATGCTGAATGTCTATATCGGTCAACTATGTTGTTTTCGTCAGTATTCTTTAGACAAATATTATAAAATAAAGTTAAAATATAAAGAATTATTTTATATATTTGAATACTGAAAGAAATTTACTTTTGATGTTAATGTTCTATCTGAAATACTGTATATCCAAATCTACCAATAGTATATTTAGTGAGTTTAAAACAACATAAAAGCGAGAAACTGCTTTGAAGATATGAAACCTGATTCATTGGTATAAAGCTTCCATCTGAAGATTTACCGCCTATATAGATTATGGAATTGGACACTTTTAAATATGTCGCAGTAAAATCAGAAGCTGGTAATTTGAATTGGTCATAATCTTTTATGTTTTTTATGTTAACGATTATCCAAGTTTCCGTATTTATATTATAAATGAACATTGCACTGGATGTTTGTTGCAGATCGGGTGCCCGTTGCTGAAGGGGTGCTTTTAATTTAGGAGTTAGTTTTGACTGTGTGGATTGCTCTGGGGATTTCACGGATGATATATCGTGAGTTGGCCTGGGGAGTTCGTCGGAGGGTCCTCCGGCGGGTATACGAGAGACTGATGTTTGAAAGTATGTTTGTTCAGGGAATGATTGTTGAGAGGTTGATTGTGGCTGAGGTGATGATTGTTGAGAGGTTGATTGTGACTGAGGTGATGGTTGTTGAATAAATTTACCGAAAACATAAATCTTCCCAATTGAATCGACTATAGCATTCATCGTTCTTTCTTGTGGAACTTGTGGACTATCAAATGCTGTTAAAACATCAAGTTTATTCCAAGATGGTTTACTCGATATATCAATTACAAAGCCTTGAAACAACTTTTAAAGTAAACCAAATTTTGGTGAAAATTTATTCTTTATATTACTAAAAATACGATGATTAAACATTACCTCTGTGTCCTCAAAACTTCCAAATACGTAGATTTTTGAATTCTTTATCTCTGAAGTTATAAAAGCTACATTAGGCGGCGTAGGATTAAGTATTTTCTGCTCAAAATTTGGAGCTGTTATATTCAGTGAGTTTGATATTTCAAGTGTAAAAAAATCAGCTGAAGTACTATTGTGACGATCTACTCCTCCCACAAAATAAAGTTTATTGTCAATTTTATTGTAATTCGCAGTATGCCCATAACGAATAAATCTCAATAGTTCAATAGCGTTGTCATCTGCATCTGCCAACCATAATAATATAATCATAAACATAATTTTATAATTTAATAAATCCATATTTCTTTTGCAAAAATAAATTTTTAGATTGAATGGTAGGGTTTTTAAATAACAATAACGATAAGGTACAAATAAGTTCGTACATACATGTCGAATAACAATAACGACAAGGTACAAATATGTACGTACCGGTACATGTACATGTCGAATGACAATAACGATAATAGTGATACATGACCGCAATTTGCTGCATAGACCACCCCCTCTGTGTGAATTTTACACATCCGATAATATAAACTAAATATCTTAATTTTTCAAGTCAATTATTCGTAATATATTTGTGTAAATAGCCCATTACTATCAAGTATTTATTCATACTGGGTTTTTAGTTATTATAATAACTTATTCCAAAGTCAGATCACTGAACTTTAGAGAAGTCCGAATCTATTTCGAAAAGGTTAAGTTTATTAGAGAGTAAAAAAACAACTTGGTTTAATTGCTCATTTTACTTTTTTTATAATTTGCTTTTGAATCACATAATTTTAACATAATCTTACGTTGAACTTGTTATGCAAAGATGATTTGTAAATGTCTTTTTTGCAAGCTAATCAACATTAGCGTTAGTAAATCTTTCAAAAAGAATCTATCCGAAGATGAATATTCCTAATTTAAGAGTATTCTTTATTAGATTGTCGATAATCACTGATTAAAATTTGATAATTGATTTTAAAGACAAAATCGATTAATAATGTACAGTCAACTCTTGATATAGTGAAGGACTAATTAAACTCTCGATATAATAAAGTTGAGCTCAAAAACAGTATATATTAAATCCTCTCGATATTGTGAATTTATTAATAAACTCGATATAGTGAATTTCTGAAAATTTTTCACTAATAGCCCGAACACCTTCAATATAATGAGGTTTGACTGTAATTGGAAAAATCATACTACGACACTTTAAAATCTTCTAAGACACACGAAGAAATTATTTAGTGTCTTAGATTCAAAAAGCAGAAATTAGATGAAAATGTGAAATTACAAAAGTATTCCTACAAAAAACAACAAATTTACTTCAAATGCAGGTTATACCAGTTGAAACTTAACCACAAATCAATATCAATTACAACCAATACAGGAACATTTTATTCTAAATTTGTTACTATTTTTTCTTTTGGGTTGCAAAACAGAAATTAGGAATATGAAGATTGATCGTGTTTCTTTCAGGAACAAATTCATGATGAAACACTTCCAATATCATGCTCTTTATTAGATGAAACTGGTAAGTATTGATTTATATGCATTATAAATGACCGAACACACGTTCGCAACAATAACCACGCTCTATATGCAAAAATACATAATCACAGCCATTTTTGAGGCTGTCTTGGCTATTTGTTTATCGTTAAGTCACATAACGATAATAATATAAATTACCGGATTCAACTTAAATGACTCCCTCAATGTAGATCCTATCAAGCTCAGCCGTCCACAACAATATTCAAGATGCAAATAGACGACGGTAATTCAAATGGCTCCCATTCAGACGAGCCCAAACATTTTAAACAAACTACGTTCTGATATGTTTGAGGACGAGGTGTCAGACATTTTTAATGATGTGAATGTGGCTCCAGCTAAGTAAGTCTTTCATCTTGATGTTAGTTGATTGTTTTAGTTTATTCATATTCTTCATAATATGAAATTTACAATCATTATCAAAAATCGTGACATTTGTAATTATAATTAAATTTTATTTTCTTTTATGTGTTCATCTTATATGCTCATTTTATGTATATTATTTTCAATAATTAATTGTCATAATCTTCTGGAAGAACTTTCACACTTCATAATTACACAGAAAAAATATGTATTTGAATGATCCTAATAACGTATCTGATCCAGCACCGAATGCTTTCGTCCCGGAAGCCAATAAATTTTCAGAGAAAATAGTTTTTATGCATGTTCCCATAAGTTTTGTCTATATTTATTGAAAATTCATTCGGATCCGGCAAATGGTCGTCCAAAGGAAGTTCTTATTTCAATCAAGCTGGCGCTGAACAAACATTGGCTAAAATGGTATATAAAATGATTAATCTATATTTGTTTTTGTATATGAATCTAATTGAGTTTTTTATATTATTATAACACTGCCAAGAAATAGATGGAAGGTCCATGTGAGTTAATCATAGGATTTATCAGAATTTTATTTCTTATATTTGATTCATGTTCAATAATAATAATGTTATTTCATCACAATTATTTGTTTATCGTTATCGTTATGTTATAGAAATACATGAAAAAATAAGTTTAAAATAGTGGAAACAAGTAATAAACCAATATAAACTATTCCAGCATCTCGATATCAATTTTTTGCTAAAATTGTAGGATAGTTATGAGAAAGATTATCTAGAGTCGTTGCTAAACTATGAAATAATATAAAAGTTTACATTCTTTCATCGTAATTGATAACAAACAAATTAATATCACTACTGTTTCGATTCAATAAAAATGAAATCTTTCCCATTTATTATAGAACGTTTATATTTTCGTTTTATGATCTACAGTAATTTTAATATTTTAAAACGTTGACTACTGAATATGTTATTGATATTGATACGGAATCTACAAGCGTAGTTTATATGTTCCAAATGAAGGTAAATTGTTTTACCTATGTCACAGTACGTAATGATTATTAGGTGATTACAAAATGTCAGCATATATCTCACAAGAATTTGATATTGGTATTAAGCATGATAGAAAAATAGAAAAAATTAACCATCCAAACATAACGCAAGTTTTTTTTAACAGCGACAGAGTCTCACATATTCATCTTCTAGAGCATAAAAATAATTTAGTATATTGATTTTCTGTTACAGTATTTTTGAAAAATAATATGAAATGTAATTCTATCTTCGTTTGGAGTACACAAACTCACACTTATAGAGCCTAAGCATGCAAACTTTATAATTAGGTAATATTATTATGATTTATATCTAGGAATAAAATGTACCAGTAACGGTTGGAATTTGTGATAAAATTCGACAGGTGTGAACTGCACGTCACGTGGGTATATATTTGTAGGAATGTTTTCATCTCCTCAAGTTTAAATAATTTCTGTTTTTCTAATTTAAGTCAATTTATAATTCCTTCATGTGTTTTGGGATATTCTAGAGAGCTGTAGTATTGAAAATGCAACGTATTTGGTTTCCACTCGTATTCGATATAATTGATATTGTAGATAGAGTTCGTAAATTGGTAAATTTCCTTAGCAGCAGGTCTATTTTCTGGAGTTAGATCCAAACATTTTTCAATAACGTCCAGAAACATTATTTGGTTACTCCTTTATCGATGTCGTACACAAATACGTAATGATCATAACTCCGTTCACCAAATGGTTGTTCACCTGTGACAACCTAGTACGCAATCATCCCAAATCTATAGATATCTGCAGCTTTAGTGTATGGTTTTTCATTTAGTACCTCTGGGCTCATATAAGGAAGTACTCCGCAAATTTTTTGATCAGATGTTTCTATATCGGCTGGGCAGGTAAGTCCAAACTCAGCAATTCGAGGATAAATATGATAACTATACATACCATGCATTAATATATTTCCAGGGTGTAAGTCACGATGCACAAATTCCTCTTTGTGAATTCTATTCAACCCTAAAGTAATATGCGTTAAATATTCTAATTTTTGTTCCCAATTCAAGTACATGTAGTTGGAATAATATATTTACGTAGATCGCCATCTTTTGCATATTCCATCACTATCGAATATTCATTTGTAATTAGGTTTTTAGTTATTCCGTAATAATTAATCCAAAGAGTGCACTTTAGAGCAATCTGAATCTAATTTTAAAAAAGTTAATTATATTGAAAAACAAAAAAGCAATAAGCTTACACTTTATAAGGTGTCTATTTTACCTCGTTTATAAACTTGGATGTAATTTGCTTTGAATTGTGTAATGATTTCTACACAGCGTCGGTTTTTTCCTTTCGTTTAAATCTATTCTCTTCATGATTCCAATTTGATTGATTGTCAAGCAAGATTGCTTTAAAAAAATGGTCCATCCAACCAGGCCTAATGATCAAGTCCAATAGTCAAGGCAAATAACCAGACAGAAATAAAAATAGGATGTGATTTACAACAAATATAGACAAAACATCACATTTATGCAAGTTGTATTTTATTGTATCTTATTTCAGAAAATTAGTACCAATCAGAAATAAATATATGTTAGTTTTACATAATATCTCAATAAATTATGCTTCAAATAAAGTGGTCTATATATCAAAATGTTTGCTTTACTAAGGCAAGCTCAGGAATTCGAAATACTACAATGCGGATCACTTAGTTACCACACAAAAAAATTAACTTCAAATTATATCAGAGCCCTCAAAATAATTCAGAAAATTTAAAAAATACGTAAATCAATAGTTTATTGACTACTCTATAACATTACGTATTTTTTTGACTGAAAAAGTTCAGATTGTTAAGATTTGGCCAATTATGGTAACTAAGTGACCTGCACTGTATCAAGAGATTTACTGTGAACAGTTAAAGCTCGATAAAGCGAACCCTCGATAAAGCGAACTCATGTTAAAATGAAGAATTTTCAGGAACCAATATATTAACAAAGAGCTTGATATAACGAAGAATAATATAAATAATACTTTATAACGTTAAGCGAAGTTTTTTTTGAATAACCCGGGACCTTCAGTTTATTGAACTTAACTGTACATGTACATAAATAGCAATAGTAACACATTCAACGTTTGAGCAATTTTTAAATTTTTTATTTTGATTTTTATAATAAAAAAATACATACCAAACATGTCAAAGAATACAGAAAAAATGTGTTATTTGATAATGGATGGAAATGTAACTATAAAGTAAAAATTTATTACTTTATTTTATTATTTAAAAAAATTGCAAATAATTAAAATACATATATTGTTGGCTTAATATTCCAATGTTTTGAGAGTTTGTTGGCCCAATATATTTGACAATCTAAAGTACAGTTTAAATTATTAA